CTTTATGAAACAATTTGGGAGGAAGTAATTGTGGCATGTTTAACATCAATTAAACCTTCTACTCAACATTGCTTCACTATTTGTCCCTTTCTCGGCACACTTAGCAACCCACTTAGCAAGTTATGTTGACTAAAGGAAGCCACCTAGTTTTGAAGGAGGAAACCCTCCATCCTTCGGTGTTAGGACGATCGGGTTTAGTGATTAGAATGCACCTATGGGCGTGTAACATCTGCAATTGCACAATGCCCCCATTTTTCATTTACAGGTGTCTCTTCATTAAATAATACTCCAATAATAAAAATAAAACAATACAAAGGTGAATTATTTAAACATTGTCGTTTACAAGTTTAAGATGCATTTGTTGAAGATAAAAAATTCTTAGAGAAAATTGTAAAATGGACAATATATCTTGGTGTTGCTTTTTCCCCCCTACGAAGCTTAACTCCATGTTTCTAGTCGAGTCTTAGCTTTGATCGTACGACCTGTTAGGAATGAGTCCATTTCTAGGTCATATAAGGCGGTGGGGATGCCATGGCGCTTGACGATGGGATGTGCTAGTGGTGCCGTTAAGTGGTATTGACACTGCACCCGTGGGGCCAAAAATGTGATGGCGGGCTTCGCTACATTAAGGCGGTAGTGATTGCGTGAGGGACAATAAGGCACCAATGCCAAGCCAAAGTTCGATACGAGTGAAGAAAGGATGCAATTATGGTTTAGACAAGAGTTGTCCTCCTAAAAAAATCACTTCAGAGCAATGTAATCTCCGTCACATGGTTTTCACGACCATTTTCTTACGAGTTTAATACAACAAAAATAGTGTAGCACAATTCATTGACCACATTCGTTTTTTTTTTGCAAGAACATTCTGTTTTTTATTTAATGAAAGCATCAACAGTGCATTTAGCAAATCAATACTCCGACCGTGCTCGAAATGAGAAGTAATAATTACAAAGTTTTGTAAGAAAAGAGGCCTATATTCGCCCGGACGAAAACATTTAGAAAACTTTGAAATCCAAAATTCAGATAACTGAGCAGTAGTATCACCCGCAAAAAAAAGAAAAGAGAAAAAAAAAGAGTAGTATAAAACTATGTGCGTTGAGATTTGGGGCACCGGCCGCAAACACCAGCGCTCATGCCTGAACCAGCGCTAGACCCTCGAAGTAGCTAGCGACAAGCGGAGGCCGCTCCAGGGCGGCCAATCAGATCAGGGGGGAGATTTCCCTTTCTGTCCGAGCGAGCGAGAGGAGCGCCGGCTGACCCCTCTCTTCCTCCTGTGCGCTCATTTGGCGCTTGCCCTGCGCTCCAAAACCTCCAACCAATTTCCGCTGCCGCCCCTCCCCTCCTTCCCCTCCTCCTCCTCCCCGCACGCAGACCCATCCATCTTTAAAACGGCCACCCTCCCCGTGCCACCATAGTTGGCCACCCAACCTCCCTCCTTCCCCCTCACTCCCTCCCACACGCAGCAGCAGGCAGCAGCGCAATGGCAAAGCCCCGCAAGAACTCAGCCGCCGCCGCCGCCGCCGCCGCGGCAAACAGCAACGCCATCGCCAGCGCGGCCGCCGACGCGGGGGCGGACGTGCGCGCCAAGCCCAAGAAGCGCACGCGGAAGAGCGTGCCCCGCGAGTCCCCCTCCCAGCGCAGCTCCGTCCACCGCGGCGTCACACGGTAAGCTCGCTCGCCAGCCAGTCTCGCCCGAGCCCCACGCGCCAACCGAACGCGCTTCCAGTCATGCTAACGGAACGGCCGGATCGCAGGCACCGGTGGACGGGGAGGTTCGAGGCGCACCTGTGGGACAAGAACAGCTGGAACGAGTCGCAGAACAAGAAGGGCAAGCAAGGTAATTAACCAACCAGCCAACCCGCTAGCTAATCACTCCACTGGCTCCGTCATTAGTCGACTGGTTAATCCACCGCATCTTCCTGACGATTTTCCCCGTCTGCTGCTGTTGTTGTTGGTGCACGCAGTTTACCTCGGTGAGGCTCCCGAGTCACGGCCTTGGCATGAGACGGCCGGCCCGATCTCCACCACTGCCCCTCGTCACTCCCTCGCCGTTAAAAAGAAGAGAATTTACAGAGAGATTTACCTGCTGCCGGGCTAACTGTAAATTGCCCACAATGCTGCAGGGGCGTATGACGAGGAGGAGGCCGCGGCCCGGGCGTACGACCTGGCGGCATTGAAGTACTGGGGCCCCGACACCATCCTCAACTTCCCGGTAGCCTACCCTACCCCGCCCGTACTGTACCGCACGATATTTACTCGTTGCACATTCTAGTCCACCCGTACCACTACCACTGCCGCGACCGCTAGCACAGGAGTAGAAGTCTCTAAGAGCATGGTTAATAGTATAGCCAGCTGCTGGCTATAAGCCAGTGACATGTCATCTACAACCCATCTTATAGCCAACATGTATAATAGTAGATCAAAAGAGTGTACTACTTTTTTATTATGTGGCCCACCTTTCATTCTCACAAAGTGCCTAGGAGCACGTGCTAGAGCTGGCTCTTCACGAAGAGCCCGCTTACCTTCTCTCTCCTTTTCTCTTTCCTCCAACTAAGCAAAAATATACTAGTTTATTCCATATAGCCTGCTGACTCATCTCTATTATACTTGCTCTACATTCGAGGCTCTTTTCATTTTCTTTCGAGAACCTCGTTGTACTCGGTGCTGTCGGTCGGCACACCTCGGAGGTCGAATTCCGCGGTCTACTGCCGACAGTGAAACGAAAATCAATTGTCGACCCTCATTTATGTTTTAGACAGATTTTACGAGTTTATTGTTCAATTATTACTGTGTAGAATTTCCATCATTCTTTGAAATAAACCAAAGTTGTATTTTTTTCCGAAACAGAGAGTTGTATATTTTTTAATTATACTCCCTCCAATCTGAATTAATTGGCACAAACTGTATACAATGCAAAACATTGTATAAATTCAAAATTGAATATTTTTTAAATTTTTGTTGTTGTTGTCGTGCTCTTGATTTGTTGCAGCTATCTATATACGAAGAGGAATTGAAAGAAATGGAGGGACAGTCGAGGGAAGAGTATATTGGTTCACTCAGGAGGTAATGATCATCAAAATGTAACGATGTTTTTCTGAATCCCGCTCCCCCTTCAGTTTCGGTAGAAAGCACATGGGACTTAAACAAATACAAATCTTAAAACAAACCATACTCCCTCCATTCCAAAAATATCTCTGTAACTAGATATAAGACGTTTTTACAGTTTAATTCAATTTGAACTACGAAAACGTCTTACATTAGTTATAGAGGTAGTAGTACTGATGTCCAAAATTTAGTACTTATGTCCAAGTGACATTTTTTCCACAGGAAAAGCAGTGGGTTCTCACGAGGGGTCTCCAAGTACCGCGGAGTCGCAAGGTAACATCATCCGTAACATCAAACTAGATTTCTCCACCGTCCGAACGGGATTTCAAACCACAGGAGAGTAACTTGATTTTGAAAAACAAATCTCACACATATGTATCCATTCACAACAAATTTTACAGGCATCATCACAACGGGAGATGGGAGGCCCGGATCGGCCGTGTGTTCGGCAACAAGTACCTCTACCTCGGCACCTACGGTACGTACTTGTACCTTTATAAATTAACCTCCTTCCACAATATCATGCCTCTTTAGCGAAACCACAAAATACAAGTGGCCAGTAGCATCGCAACGGCCCCAATAAATGTCTTGTACATATTTTTGACTCATAAAATCTTCAGTCGTACTACGTACATAGATAATGAGTGAGACTGTTCATGAAAGCCAAATCTGAGTCGTGCTAGCGGTGTACCGCAGCCTACACTCCCAAGTCCTAGACCAGTACCAGCAGCGTACCACATGGGCACACGGTGACGATTAGGCACAAGCTCGACCATCACAGACTCACAGTCCAGCTTAGTGCCTAGATGCCTCATTAAGCACAAGCGTGACCAGATAGTTGGCCAACTAATTCGTACACTCCGTGGCTGAAATGCCTGCTAATGCTAACCAGGTGTACTACGATTAGGCTGCAATTACTGCTGGGTACAATCACTGCTCCCCATCACAGTCGGAGCGGAGGCGTGTTCGCTCTTAGCAGCGCACAAGTTTCGTGTGTATTCCGTGACAACGTCCAGAATTCCAGCGTGATATGTCGCGTCCCAAATGTGATCTTGGAAAGAAGAACGGCCTAGAGAACACATGCACAAAATATGTTCTTCTGAGTTAGAAATGTTCGACCGCCTCTTTTACTTTTTATAAGACGTTTTCGGAGTCAGTATCATGCTATGAACACGTGTTGTCGATAGCTTCGGGGTTGTAGGTGCGTCCCCACGGTTTAGATCTCCATAATGAATTACAGAGTGAATTATAGGAGTGGTCTTGGATCCAAGTAGCTGGAGCAAGCAATGGCAGAGCAGAGATGAGGTCTCGGCAGTTCCAATTCCGGTTAGTTGGGGATTAGATGCCATGACTCAATGAGCTCGACCCCAGCAACGCCGTACTTCAACTTCCAGCGGTCTAAAGATCAGCACTGTTCACACCACAGAAGTTCAGTTGCACTTGCACCTAGACCTGATTGTGATCGGAGCATCAGTGATGCACCGCATGATCGTAGGCTGTTATATGATTCTATGACTTTAGGATTCAAACTAATCCCTTTGATATAAATTTTGGTTAGCAGAATTTACGTTTCTACCATCCTTATAGTTAAGATTCTACTATTTACAATCCTATCATTGGAGCTTCGATCGGACTCAAAACCACGATTGTGACTGCCTTAATTGTAGTATTCTTTTTTCAACGAAAAATGCTGCGTCGCCCCTCAAAAAAAATAAAAAATGCTGCGTCGTTTAAGCGATCTAATCGTCGGATGATGTGCGCAGCGACGCAGGAGGAAGCGGCGATGGCGTACGACATGGCGGCGATCGAGTACCGCGGCCTCAACGCGGTCACCAACTTCGACCTCAGCCGCTACATCAAGTGGCTCCGCCCCGGGGCCGCCGACGTGGCGGGCGCCGCCGGCCGGAGCGCGCACCCGATGCTGGCCAGCCTCGCGGCGCAGGAGCTCCCCGCGATCGACCTCGACGCCATGGCGTTCCAGCACGACCTCCACCAGCAGGGCATGGAGGACGGCATGACCGCGGAGGCGGCGGCGGCCGCGGCGGAGGCGCAGTTCCCGCTGCTGCCGGCAAGGGCGGCCACGCTCGGCCACACCCCCACCACGTCCGCGCTCAGCCTGCTGCTGCAGTCGCCCAAGTTCAAGGAGATGATCGAGCGGACGTCGGCCGCCGAGAGCAGCACCACCACGTCCTCCTCGTCCATGTCCACGCCGCCGCCGCCGCAGGCCACCAGGGACGACGGCGCCTCGCCGCAGTGCAGCTTCCCGGAGGACATCCAGACCTTCTTCGGCAGCGACGACGGCGTGGCCTACACCGACGTCGACGGCCTCTTCTTCGGTGACCTGTCCGCCTACGCGTCCCCGGCGTTCCATTTCGAGCTGGACTTGTGATCGCGCCGGCGTACGTGGCCACTGGCCAGACTGATACGCGCCATTAATTGGTTTCTTCCAATGGGGATGGGGGATTTTGTCAATAGGATAATCAGATGGAGAAGAAACGAAGACAGAGCAAGATAACAGAGAATTGTTACAGTGCAGCTAGTGAGGACTGAGAATTATTTGAAGATTATTTATTGTTTTTGTCCTTCTTTTGGTATAATCAGGGGTATAGCGTAAGCAAGAGAGATTGTTTCATTTGTTTCAGGATCCTTGACAGTCAAAATAAGGAGCTAATATATACGTATATTGATTCACATGAGTTCTTTATTTACGAAGATTCTTCCATTTCAAGTCATTTGAAGTTCAGGATTTGTTCTAAGTCAAACTTGTCTGCATTTGATCAGTTATGTAGAGAAATGTGTTAACATGTACAGCATGAAATATATGTAGTGCGGAGATATACAAACATTTGGCAAACTAAAAGTTACCAAAATAGACATAGTTCATGAACCCCATGATCCTGAGCAGCCTATCTGTAAGTAGGGACGGTCGTGGGTGCAACCTTCCAGGTCGAAGCTGCAGAAGCTGGCTAGTAATCACAGGCGAGCACGTACGCGGCTGGAAGTTGCGGACGGACGGAGGGTCCTGGCTCGCTCGTATCTCATCGGCATGTGCCGGGCATGTATGGCTCTGTCAGTGCAACGGCGACCACGGCGTCAATGTGCCCGCTGTGGAATGTGGATCTCGGGGGACAGGGAATGTGCTCGATGTCAGGTCAGAACGAGGCTCCAATGGCACGGCAGGGAAAACAAGAAGTCGTGGCTGGAAAAGTCGCCGCCGCCTCGCTGGCGGCCTATCCTGGCGTACGGTCGATGGCCGGGACCCGGCCGGCCGGCCGGCCAGCGCTCTGCCGGCGTGCGCATTGCGCGGTAGGGGTCGGGGGAAGGAGGCGTGCGTTTTCGTCCTTGGTCGCCGGGACTCTTGGCTGCTGGGAACATGTCGCGGGAGACGGGTTACGTTTTCGAACGTATCGTCGCTTTGTCAGCACTCGGTTGGTGCTCGGTCCGGCGGCGGCTCAAGGGCGCCGGGGCGCCGGATCGGTTTTGTCTTTGGCGCCGCCCGGGTGCCTGGCTACGTGGGTGGTGGCGGAGGAAGCGAAGGAGGGGTGCGCTCGTGGTCTTGTCTCGCGCTGGGAACTCGCCAACAGAAACATGAGACGAGGATAAAATGGATAACGAAATCCCCCGACAAAAAAAAAGAAATACACGACAAAATACTATATATTCAGTTCATCCGCACCAACTCCATTTCTCTCGATATCCAACTATGCCATCTCACCATACCACAATGCATGACCTAAATACTTGTTCTCCACTAACTTCAATTTTTTTTGTTTTTGAAAAGAAGGATATACTCCGATGCATGTAGCCATTTTATTAATTATTTACAAAAACCCTACAAGATAATACATTAGTAAGTCTGAAGCCACCATCTAGACAACACTTGTCACTCCTTCTATCCCCTTGAAGATGGGGTGCCGAATGTCCGAGCCAAATACCAAACAAATGTTGCACAAAAGCCTAACATCTAGAGCTGCATGCCCTAGCCCAGCCACATACGAGGACTGGGTCACACACCAGACCGGCGCACTCTTAGAGGCTGCCGCCATCATCTTCCACCGGCTCATCTCCAGAGCAAGAACTGACGTATCGACCTTGCCTGGCCTGTCGTCGACGCCACTATGGCGCCAGACAATGCACCATCCTACACGTATCCGTCCACACGCGCCCGCCCCGAACCTCCGCAGCTCCATGCTACCGGGATCCACCGTCGGCCTTGCGGTAGCGTAACACCGCTCCTCCTCTTGCCCCCTCCAGTCAGCACTTGCTCCAAAATGATGCCCCCAGGAGGAACAAGGACATCGAAGGTGCCATCATCGTCCGATCGGTAGACCCAGATCTAGGGTTTCCTTGGAGCATCACGAGTAGGGTGCCACGACCTGCAACAACGATGCCTCGAGAAGGGAACGACGTCTTATGTCTACTACACAACCTTCTTCTTGTAGATGTTGTTGGGCCTTCAAGCACAGAGGTTTGTAGGACAGTAGCAAATATCCCTCAAGTGGATGACCTAAGGTTTATCAATCCGTGGGAGGCATAGGATGAAGATGTTCTTTCTCAAACAACCCTGTAACCAAATAACAAAGAGTCTCTTGTGTCCCCAACACACCCAATACAATGATAAATTGTATAGGTGCACTAGTTCAGCGAAGAGATATGTAAGATCGAAAGTATGTCTAGAGGGAGGGGGTGATTAGACTACTTGACCAAATAAAAACCTAGCCTTTTCCCAATTTTAATTCTTGGCAGGTTTTAGCAACTTAGCACTAGCCAAGTAATCACAATATAATTCAAGCAAGCATGCAAAGAGTATATGAGCAGCGGAAAGTAAAGCATGCAACTTGCAAGAAAGTAAAGGTGAGGAGTTTGGAGGGAGCAAACGCAATGTTGACAGGAGATTTTTGGCATGGTTCCGATAGGTGGTGCTATCGTACATCCACGTTGATGGAGACTTCAACCCACGAAGGGTAACGGTTGCGCGAGTCCACGGAGGTCTCCACCCACGAAGAAGCAACCTTGTCTATCCTACCATGGCCATCCCCCATGAAGGACTTGCCTCACTTGGGTAGATCTTCAGGAAGTAGGCGATCTCCTTGCCCTTACAAACTCCCGGGGTTCAACTCCACAATCTTGACGGAGGCTCCCAAGTGACAAATAACCAATCTAGGAGACATCACTGTCCAAAAGGTAATAGATGGTGTGTTGATGATGAACTCCTTGTTCTTGTGCTTCAAATGAAAGTCTCCCCAACACTCAACTCTCTCTCACAGATTTGGTTATGGTGAAAAGACGATTTGAGTGGAAAGCAACTTGGGGAAGGCTAGAGATCAAGATTCTTATGGTTGGAATGGAATGTCTTGGTCTCAACACATGAGTAGGTGGTTCTCTATCAGAAAATGAATGGTGAAAGTGTAGGCACGTTCTGATGGCTTTCTCCACGAATGAAGAATGGGTGGAGGGGTATATTGATACATCTCCAATGTATCTATAATTTATGAAGTATTCATGCTGTTTTATTATCATTATTGGATGTTTTACATTCATTTTATGGCAACTTTATATCATTTTTTGGGACTAACCTATTGACCCAGTGCCCAGTGCCAGTTGCTGTTTTTTGCTTGTTTTTTACATCGCAGGAAAACAATATCAAACGGAGTCCAAACACCATGAAACTCCTGGAGGATTTTTTTATGGAACAGAAGACCACCATTGGGCCAAGGAAGCACCTAGGGGAGCCCCGAGGGGGGCAGCACCCACCAGGGGGCGCCCTGGTGGGTTGTGCCCACCTCGATGGCCTACCGTACCCCTTCTTCGCCCTATAAATTCCCAAATATTCCAAAACCCTTCGAGGTAGCCCTAGATCAGAAGTTCTGCCGCTGCAAGGCCTTTGTATCCATGAGATCGAATCTAGACCCCATTCCGGCACCCTGCCGAAGGGGGAAATCATCACCGGTGGCCATCTTCATCATCCCGGCAGCCACCACGGTGAGGAGGGAGTAGTCCACCCTTGGGGCTGAGGGTTTGTACCAATAGCTATGTGTTTAATCTCTCTCGCGCGCGATCTTGAGATGTCACGATCTTGGTGTATCATGGGCTTTGCTAATATAGTCGGATTATATGGTGTTTTCCCCTCTCTATCTTGTTGTGATGAATTGAGTTTTTCCCTTTGAGATTTCGTTGTTATCGCATTGAATACTTTTATGGATTTGAGAACACTTGATATATGTCTTGCAATTGAATACTCGTGATGACAATGGGGTATCGTATTGACTCACTTGATATATGTTTTGGCACTCAACTCGCGGATTCCCGAGGTGACATTGGGGTAATCTATGCATAGGGGTTGATGCGCGTTCTTGTCTTTGTTTCTCCGATAGAAATCTTGGGACACTCTTTGAAGTTCTTTGTGTTGGATTGAGTATTATGAATATGAATTTGCTTTGGTGTTATTTTAGTACAAACTCTAGGATAGATCGAACAGAAAGAATAGCTTCATGTTATTTTAGTACGAACTATTGAATAGATCGAACGGAAAGAATAGCTTTGAGGTGGTTTCGTACCCTACAAACAATTTATTCTTATGCTCTCCGCTAGATAGGAACTTCAGAGTGATTCTTCATCGCACTTTGAGGTAAACCCGGGCATGGGCAGCCCGGCCCGACGACCCGGCCCGAGCCCGGCCCGAAAAACCCGGGCCGGGCCGGGCCGGGCTTGACGTTCGGGCCGGGCTCGGGCCTAGTTTTGTAGCCCGGAAGATAGTTCGGGCCGGGCTCGGGCTTCATTTTTTATATATTTCGGGCCGGGCTTTCGGGCTTCGGGCCGGGCTTGCACGTGCGTACACTAAAAAACAACGTTCGGGCCGGGCTTTCGGGCTTCGGGCTTGACTTCGGGCCGGGCTCGGGCTTGAAAACAGGGAGTATTTCGGGCTTCGGGCCGGGCTCGGGCTTGGGAAATGAAGGTCGGGCTTTTATAAGCCCGGCCCGAAACCCGGTCCGGCCCGACGTTTGCCCGGGTTTACTTTGAGGGATGGTTATATGATCCAATTATGTTAGCATTATTGAGAGATTGCACTAGCAAAAGTATGCACCCTAGGCCTCATTTTCAAGCATTGCAATACCTTTTTTGTGCCTGTTTACTATCTTCTACCTTGCTGTTTTTATTTATTCAGATTATAAAAATATATTTGTACCATCCATATTACACTTTTATCACCATATCTTCGCCGAACTAGTGCACCTATACAATTTGCCATTGTATTGGGTGTGTTGGGGACACAAGAGATTTCTTGTATTTGATTGCAGGACTGCTTGAGAGGGGCCATCTTCATCCTACACCTCTCAAGGATTGATAAACCTTAGGTCATCCACTTGAGGAGAAGTTGCTACTGTCCTA